ACGTAAACATAGGTATTGACTGTTCCTTCGCCAAGCACCTGGCACTAGAAGTGAAAGTCACCGGTCTTTCGGATCCATGGTAGGCGTTGGCACGATAAAGAACTCTCACTGCTCAATGGCCCTTAGTGCCGAATATAGGTCTAAATTTGAAGCCCTTCACTGACATACGCTGACGTCTCTAATGAGTGAAAAATTCTCGAATGGGACGTTAAACCACATACAATTAATCAATCATTCAACCCACTGCGTCACTAGGGCAACAGATATATATCATTGACAAGCCATAGATTACCTAAAAGGGGGGAAAAGCTCAAAAACTTACATTTCGTGTCTTGCAATGGGTCACATTTCAATTTTATCTGCATTTCAATCAATTTAAAAGATATTGCTAACTATAACCCGCTCACGTGTGTTAGATCCTCAGCCTGAAAATGATATTTGACTAATTTTTCTTTTAATTTATTTTCTTTTACAGATTAAACAGAGATATTTGCTAATCAGTTTCCCAAATACCCAGATTATTGAACTTTGTAATTTGGGTTAAAAAATTAGTAATTCACAAGTTATGTGTGTAAAGAGGCTGAGAAAGTGATACATAGGAATTAACATTTCACAAAAATGACCCATACAGTCGAAAAGGGAATGGGAAAACAGGCAAATCAAAGCGATTTCATTTAGTATGCTTAAAAAGTACACAGTGATATGAAAAATAAAAGTAAATTACTTGGTTCTGTGTTTATTAAAGTTCATGTTTACTGCCAGATATGTGGTTAATTCTTTGAAAAAGTTATAATTACTTGTACATTTTCTGATTCCAGTATACATAATTATAAAACCTGTAGTGAAATTTATTAAACAGTATTTTTTCAAAAGATTTTTTTATGATTACTTCATAATTTCTTCTAACTTTTCAAAATAAGATTGTGTAACTTATAAGGATAAAGTCATTATTTTTAATCCTTAAATGTATTTTCTATTGACTTGTTATGAAAACTTTATAGAGAGCTATTTTAAATATTCAAATGAATGTACTACTTGTTATTTTTTCCTTTAAACACAAAGTAACCCCTCCAGTAAACAAAAGTGTTTGTATAAGAACCAAATTTTGACAAGAGTTATTTAAATATTGTTTTTGAATATATTAGATAAATGTTTTTAGCTCCTGAACGCATATTTGCCTATCGACTGATATTATTATATATATTATTTTTGAATGTAAGGCATATGAGAGGCGTGTACGCGTGATCCGAGGAAAGAGTGGCAAAACAATTTACCATTAGGATGTTCGCGTTTTAATAAAAATTGGTTTTATTTCCAATTGAAAACCCATTTTATATAAAAATCTACATAATTTGTCTACAAAAGCAGGCATCCTTAATAAACAAATTTAATTATCAGTTTAACAGAATTTTTTTTCATCTGTTCAATTAAAAATTATTTTCTATATTGTGCATCTTTGAACACTATTTAATCAAGCTAAATTTAAGAAAGGATTATGCAATCAGTAATTGATGCAGTTGACAAAGAGATTTCAACTGTACTTCGATTAAAATTTCATTGAAACAATGAAACTCATGGTTTAGTTATAATTTTATTATGTGTTGCTCTCGATTTATCTGTATCTTAAAGTAAAACAATTATGCGGCGAAACAATCCAAATTATGACTTCACTAAGTTTTTTTTTTTTTTTTTTTTTTTTTTTTTTTTTTTTTTTTTTTTGTTATTTAAAGGGGGGGGGGGTGGCTTTCGGTTCATTAATCTGTATCCGCTTTAAAAGATTTCAAAATCCCATATCTGAAATTCCAAAAATTAAAAGGTTTGTTGAAAAATGTATTGGAAAAAAAACTGATATATATTTAAATAAAGTATCCAAAAATCAACATTCAGTAATGAAGATAACAGACATTTTTGTTAATTCAGATATTTAATGATTACTAATCACATCTTATTACTTGAAAAAATGTAATTCATTACAGCTGATAGGAATTGTAATTTATGATTTTACTTGTCTGTCGAATTTTTTATGACATGTACAGATTTAAGTAAAGGCCAGAGACAACTTGTCTTTCTCCATATTTTTTAAGGATTTAGGTGAACCGAATTTATCGGCATGCATTGTGTAGGTAAAAGAATGATCAGAGACAGCCTATGCTAAATGTAAAGAAAGGCTGCAAAACCAAATCATGGATGCATACCATTAGAATCAAAAGAAAGAAAGAGAGGATAAAATTGGTACTTGAAAATACGCATACCCTTAGAGTAGAGAAATTCAAGAAATTATTTTCTAAAAACGATGACTCTTCCAACAAGGATTCTGAAGTAGATATTATGAGGATGTCGGATTTTTTAATTGGCAAAGTGTATGATATGTTTGGATACAAGGTCTTCCAACGAACAGGTGGAATTCCCATGTGGACTAATAGACTTGTGCGCCTTTATTAACCGACCTGTATTTATTAACTTATGAAGCAGAATTGTTTTGCATTTTGACATTTAGATATGACATTTTATTAATATACAAGATTCAGTTTTATTTATACGTTAATTTGATACATTTCACAAAAATAAAAGACCCTAAAGATTCTTTCACCTCTTTTCATATTTTACTAGCTATAGCCATAGATGAAAAACTAACAACAAATTTTATTCCTAATGTGATGACTCCCCATTTTCTATCATCAATTTCCATTGTTAATGTAGCAATATACCATTATCACCTGAATGGATATTACTCAGAATGTATATGCATACATTATACATTTTCTATTGTTTTCATACATTCTAATACAAGATATTCGATACATACTGCTTGTATATATAAACAAGAGGCCCAAGGGCCTTAACGGTCACCTGAGTATAATTTAATGATACAAAGATTAAATCAAAATAAGCTGGAAAATGAATCTATGTTGTCCAAAATCAAGGGTAGCCGGGTGATCAGGGATCAGCAAAATATTAATCTCTAATACTCAGTAACACATGTTAAAGGTGATATATCTATTTGCCTGTACTTTCCTCCATTTGTCACCATCCATATGTTCAATAAACAAAACAATAGTTTTAGTTGTGCGTATTGAAACAATTGGGAGAAAAGACGCCACATCCAGATGATAGTGGAATATGACTACATTTATAGGGGAAGTTGACTTTGGAAAAACTGGAGTTATCTCAGTTTCAAGCAATTTAGTTGTTAGTTGACCCTTAAAGTTTCTAGTCGGTAAAACATCCAAATATTACTCAGATGTGACAGACTCTGTGGTACCTTAAGTTTCGATTTCACTAGGATGCATCTTTTTGTCATTTGAATAAAAATTTAACGTCGTCAATATTTCGAAATGTTGAATTGAAATAAACTGCAAGCTTTTCTTCTTCTCATGTAAAATTGTTCTTTAATGATTTTGCTTTATTAAAAAAAAAAAAGTCGAGTAATAAAGAATCACAGAAATTCAAAAATATTGTTGGAAAACATGATTTCTATAAACACTTCATAGATATTGTCAATGCGGAACTCCAGCATCTTTTAGATTTCAACTTTAGAGAATTTGTGTAGAATCCGAACAATTTTGTAGATAACCAACCACATTACAAGTTCCATTTATTGTTGAAGAAGCAGTTGTATATGATGTCAAAAAACCTGGTCTTTAATTTGTCGTAAGGAATGGTATGAAGATTTGAAATATAACAACGTTTTGATTTTATTGATTCCTGGGGGGAAATGTGTTTTACATGTTGTCCACAAGTCTTTGAAGTTTTTGAGAATCATGCAAGCGTTGTAGTTCATGTACCTCATGAATTTTTATTGATTCCTAGGGGGAAATGTGTTTTACATGTACATGTTGTCCACAAGTCTTTGGAGTTTTTGAGAATCATGCACATTTAAATTGCACCACCTCTTGAATGTATTGTAGCAGAGAACGTCTGAAGTTTCTCCTTCACAGCAGGCAATATTTTATATTCACATTCAGTGTGATTTGCTTTATGGAATCCATTTGAAATCTACAACAATCAACCCCTTATAACAACCATGAAACCTTATCACAGCGCGGTAGAATACACAATAGGAATTACACTATACATACACTTTCAATATACTAGGAATGCAAAAAATGTATATTGTTCTGGCTCAATCCAATTAAAAACAATTACACTATATAAATGTTGTAAAAATATAACAAATGTACGTTTAAAATTTATTTGCATATTTTCACTCGCAATATTTATTTGAGTTATTTAACTTTCCAGGTAAAAACGGCTCTTACGTCTATTAACCACATCAGTTCTTAAAGGCGCTAAATTTATAATATAGATGAAGGAAATTAGCATATATGAAGAGAGAAAAAAAAATTAGAGAATAAATATAAGCGTTGAATTCTAATTTTTGGATGTTGTCGGTCCTATAACAGAAACTGTCCATGCCGACAAATTATTCATACCTTGCGTTAGCGTGGTATTCAATTTGTCGGCACAGCCAGGTGTTGTTATACATGTAGGACCGGCGATATCCAAAAAATAAGAATTCAATGCTTAACTAAAAATAGGAGCTTTGTTGAAGATTTAATAGAGCTTGCAATTATTCTTTGTTTGGTAGGATGGCGAGATTTTTAAATGAAAATAAAAATCTACATAACTATGTCTGATATCACTGAAAACAACATTACTGCGATATTTTCTTAAGATTCTAAACAGACATCTGACTCATTATCTGGGCTGTTTATTAATGGAACTTAAAATCTTTTTTAAGTCCTTGGTTAATCACACAGCTGATTTAAAGCACGGGATTCAATATTTTTAAGTCCTTTCAAGTTTCCTCTTACTATGGCATTATAAATCTTTGATTTCCCTCTTTTAAAAATTCAAAAAAAAAAAAACAAGATCGCATTTTTTTTTATTTAACAAATCTAAAAGATTAGAAGCAGATAATATGTTAATTGGTACAAAAATCATGTACATACATAAACAAATATAACAATAACCAACAACAAATTGATAGAAACTGTTAAAAAAATAAAAATATATGTCGAATGTTATATGAACTTTTTTCACAAATGGTTATGGCAATCCATATATGATATGTTAATAAAAATGTTAATTTTAAATAGTATATAATTTCTAAATCGAATCTGTTATCTTTTCGTTTACAAATCTACGTTTAGATTTGGTGACACATGTAAAAAAAAAAATCTCTCACTTTCTTTCTCTCTCTCAAATATGCATATTAAAATTTATTTACAAAAATGAATCTCCCAAACATTTCATTTGCTCATTATTATGCAATATGGTTCCTTCCAACATCAACTTCATTTCCCCGCATTGTCTTTACGAAGGAGGCGGTGCCACAACATTTGTGTGCATCGGGATCGGTATTTGGTAATTTTTCGGGTAAACACCCTGGCGTCGCCCACCAAAGCAGTGCGTAATGATTTGAAGCGCCGAATTGACAGTGATCTGGTTTTCCCGATCGTTACCAAGACTTGGATTCACTTCAGCTATATCTACGCATGACAGTCGACCTGCAAAAAAAAAATAAAGTGAGTACTTTTTAATCTCAAACGTCGCAACTCTACGAAATCCTATATAGAAAAATGAATAACATCCCTCTGTAATTACGTAACCGTTAATGCAATTGCGCATACCTGTGGCAGCAAGCTCCTCACAAATGTAGTTTCCCTCCCTGATGGATAGACCCCCAGGAACGGGGGTACCAGTGCTGGGAGCAAGGGACGGGTCCAAAGCGTCAATGTCGAAACTCAGGTGAATAGGTTTTACTCCCCTGTATCAACGAGATAAAAATGATAAATAACAAGGCTTTTTTTTCCAAATCTTAACGTCACAATTTTTAAACTTCGTAAATTTCAATCGTTTTATATTTTTCCTTACTTTTTGTTTGAGTTAAAATTTTGTTACAACGAAACAATAAATAAAGCTTTTCATACTCCTTTAATCTTTAATGTCGATTTTATAGTGCACATAAATATTTAACTTACTCAGGGTCCAGAAAATGCATAGCTTTTTCCACAACCTCTTTGATCCCATGTCTGTCCACTTCTGACATTGAGAAGGAATGAATCCCAAGTTTCTCTATGATATATCTGATAGAAGGAAAACATATGTAACTCATGTTGTATATGAGCAATAAGATAGCAATTATATTGAATTAAATTTCCGATAGAAAATTTCCACAAGTTTACCTTTCTCCAGGGTCAACATCACGAAGACCGATGTAGGCAATGTTCTTTGCAGACAAACTGCAAAACAAGAAAGATATGTATTACAAATAATTAAATGACTCCAAGAAAAATTGTAAAAAAGAAAGAAACTGATATAAGGTTTCCTGGTTTATAGCGAGCGCAGGGAGCTGCGCGACAAAGCGCCGCTCGTCCCTGCGAGCTCTGACGACAACGCCTGGGCGAAGAGAAAATTCAAACTTTGCACATTGATACAAATGATTTTTTCCGCAGGGATCTCTGGACCCACAATCTTAAGCGAATTGCATCTCGCCGCAAACTACGTTCTCGCGGTAACAAGTTCAAAGAAAAACTATAAACTCGCCTTGGTTTAATTGATATATAGCAGAAAAACAGTAGATTAAACGTTCTTAATTAAAATTAGCACTGTTCAAACTTCGTTTTGGTAATGCAACTTACATACGACGTCATGTGACGTCACACTCTAGACTTACCAAATGTCACCTGCGATTTGAAGAGCCTAATCTAAATTAAAATTGAAAAGGTATCTGCGTTCGCCCGACGGTAACACCGTCAACATATTAAGAGCTTCCGGTTTCTAAGAAAAGTGTCCGAAAGAGGTAAACATAGTATAAATAAAAATGAATACCATGGTTTGATAAAATCAAATCCTGGAAGCTTGCTGATGTATGGCTGCAGTTCTTTCACAAGAAATGACAAAGGCATTCCATGCATGTTTCCAGAGGATGACGTCAGTGGTGTATTTATATCTGCGTGCGCATCAACCCATACTACCACGTGATCCGGTTGCGCCAATGAATGTCCGTAAATCGAACCAATGGCCATACTGTGATCTCCACCCAGAGCCAAGCAAACCCTCTCTGATTTGATGACATTGTACACATCAGCAGCAATCTAGGAAATAAGTGACATTATTGGCTGGTGCTACTTTTGCTGATTTTGGCAAAAACTTAATTTAATTTAACACGCATTCTTTGTTTGCTTATAATTTTTTAGAAAGAAATGGAATTACATTTTCGGAGGCCGTGGCTACGTGTTTGGGATTCTTGACGGGCAGATCGAAGTGATGGTCATCCTCATGACTTGGCGTCCCCACGTCACCGTAGTCGTGAACGTCCAGTCCTAGCCCCTTCAGCTTCTTAATCAGACCCCCTTCTCTCAAAGCGTTAGGACCATGCTCTGTACCGGGTTTGGCCTACGTGAAAAAAAAATCATCATAAACTGACGTCAATGAAATGCATGTACACATGCATGAATCTGGTACCACAGAAAATAGTCGTGTTAAATGTACATAATATATATATATATTTTTGCAAATAGTATTTATAACTGTATTTTATCAGAACTCTATATTTTTCTAAATTTCTAGTTCTATCAATAGGAAACTAATTCGAGCACATCCAAGTATTATCGATATTGTAGCCTTTCGGAATGCGATGACATACATCAAGCTATCATACAGTTACGTATCCTGTATACATATGTCACAGCGAGTGTTAAGTCGTAAAGTTGAGATTTTATCCTTGTGTATGATCAAATTAGGTGAAGCTTACGTCATTTTTTCTTTAGTTCCATACTATAATTGAAAATGTTCTAAATCCATGTTTACGGACACGTGTAGAGCGGCACATGGATCAACCTGATTTACTTAGTACTTCAAAACAAAAATTCCTGATCTTGATCAAGCGGTGAATAACGAGCTTTGGAAAAACTAAATGGAGAAACCATTACAAGACAAAAACATACTTCGTTGTTCTGAACTGAAGGAAGGCAGAAGTATCCTAGTTTTCCGGAAGAAAAAGATTATGATAAATACAGTGTATCGTGGCTTTGTGTTTTCGTTGTTTATAAATTGATAAACGGCAATCTATCCCATCTATTCCTAATTCTGCAAATTACATGCTAGATTTACACGCTCTCTTAACACCGAAGTAGTTTCGCACATGTTAAGATGTTTTTTTCCGTCCCTGCCTCTCGCCTGGTTGATTTCCGAGTCCGATCAATGAACCAGCATCTGGTTGTATGGCGCTACACTTAGTACAAAACTATTCCATGATGACCTTTACATCACCCCTTAATTTGTATAAATACACATATATCCCAAGAAACTTCACCTCAGAAAATCAAGCTATAGACACTCAGGTCACTTTTTGCGATGTTCCATTTCTTTTTCTTTTTTTTAATGTAGCAACTCCGATTTACTTATTGAATATCAAATTCTCATATTTACACATTACATTTCCCGGCCAAAAAAAAAAAAAAATTGTACATGAGCACAAGTAAAGCCTTTAATCTCTCTTCCATGTTTCACAGGCAGTTCTGCCTGTCAGTTATGACTATTCGTTAGAGGAATCATATGTCTTTATATACAGAACGCTAAAGTGATTAAATCCCCGGTCACCAAAATGTTTTCTCGTTTATCTATGTCTGTTTGCGGCTGCCTGTCGCGCGCACCTGACATTAATTTTTCTAATCATTTTTGAGACCAAGTTTTCGTATTTAATGTGTCCTTTCAAAATGAAGCTTTACATAAATGCTTCGTGACTACAACCATATTGTTTTACTCTTATTAACTAAATACTGTTTTTAAACATGTTTGAACAAGTTATAATATTCATTAGTTTTCGAAAACTTCCTAATCTTTTTTTTTTAATTAAGCCAGATATTTTTGGTATTGTTCTCCTGTGTGTGAAACTTTTTGATACAGACAAGTATCTTAAGGCTAATTTTTAATCAATGATTGAACACAATACATGTGTACAAGTTCTTTTAAAAGTAAAAAAAAAAAAGACGACAAAATCTCATTTGATTAAAGAAGAACATCAAATATATGAACAATATTTATTTTAATCATTAGACACTGTGACATTTAAATGTATGCCCATTATCTTACTCTCATGCAATAAAATAATAACAAGAATTGCGTATGACAAAACTTAAAACAGAATTTAATGCATGCATACCAGTATACATGTACTTAAGGATATATTTTTTTATCCAAGAAGTAAAAAAATGGAAAGAAATTTAAAGATCATAAATACGCGCTTTGTTCCACATATCAACGTTGTCTAGAACCTTACCCAATTTATTGGAGACCTTGGATTGGGGACAAATACTGTATCCCAATGTTTATCTAAAGAATAAGGCTTACAAAGGAAGCCCGGGGATTTGTTCTTAATGACGGCTTTTTCAAAAAAAGTTCGTTTTCTAAGTCTTAATCTCCACCCCAATTTACAGTCGTTCTTTATAACAAACATCCAGACGCTAATCCGCTCGACTAACAAACAAGTTCAGGGTCCCAGCCCAGATAAAAGAAACAGGCGATGGAAAATGTATGAAATTCTTTAATCTTTAAATTTTCCCTCAATTTCTGTATGGGCGCTGTCCCTTTCAACCAATGGAATGAAATTTGACGTGGGCGCTGTCCTTGATATCCAATAAAATGGAAATATGTCGCAAAACGTAACAAGCACTCAGAATACATCAAGAGAAAGAAAAAATGCAAATTTTAAATTTTTCAAACTGACATGTGTTTATCATTCTGCAAATGCAAAGGGTGATAGTTTTTAAAATTTGTTTGTTTATTCTTTAATGAATATTGATTCTCGGAAGGTCTGTATGGAATATTCAGAATTCAATAATAATTGCTATCAGTATATATATATATATATATATATATATATATATATATATATATATATTTGATAGAACTTAAGAAAAGATGAAGATATCCCTACCTGTCCATGATGCACAGGACACCCAACAATTCCCACTTTTCTGTCACTGTAGTGCAGCATATTCTTTCTTAAAAATGATGAAAACTCTGGAAAAAATAATCAATCAATGCAATTTTATAGGCCAGAGTGACCATGTGACTTTAAAGGGAGGTGTGTCCCCCTAAACCAATCAGATTGCTAGAATTTGCCTTCGTTTTCTAACGCGTGACATAGTTGTGTTTACACGATTTTTTAGGAGGTGTGTCACTCATGACCAATGAAAACATTATTCTTGTGAGGATCCAATGAGGGCATCACAAGGCATTAAAACTACGATGTTATCAATATTGTTGTGATTGTGTAATGATTTTTTTTTTTTTGGTCAATGGAAACTTACCGTTTTGAAAATTTTCCACCATAGAAGTGGTTCCGGATCAATCATAATATTCTCATAAACAAACATAAACAGATAAACACATTCCGTAGCCCCAAACCATAGAGTTCTACGTTTTAAAAGAAATGCTTCTCTCTGACCCAAACATCGCTGCTTATGGACACTAAAGGAGGACACTGAATCCTTTTGTTCGGAGAAAAAAGCGGTTGTTCGGGAGTCAATGACCCCGTAACATCTCCGACCACTCATTATCACAATCCAGGTACTAACTGTCATGACAAAATTAATGATATATATATATATATATTAAAATATATTTACGGTACGAATATTTACGTTAATGATTTCACGGTTGACTTATGTATATTGACAGACCTGCACTAGATAAAAAAAAATGGATTACCTATAGATTCAAACTTTTAAATAATTTTATTAAATACTTTCTCTAAGATGGAGAAAAAAAAAAGATATTTTTGTGTCTTTTTTCAGAGACTTGATGTAAATTAATATTTTGGCTGACCAAATGAAAGATGGGTGACTCTGGATCTTTTAGGGTTAAACGATAGTGTTTGGTTTAATTTTCTCTCGTATTTCTTTTTCTTCTCAAGGTATTGTATTTTATTATTGATGACTTGATGACCAAAGCGCAAAAATCACTAATATTCCAAACATATATATATATATATATATATATATATATATATATATATATATATATATATATATATATATATATATATATATATATATATATTTATTTATTTATTTATTTATTTATTTATTTATTCATGTCGTTTAACGAATGAGTCTTTGTCCCCTGGTCATGCTGTGAAATAGGACGTGAGAAATGTGTCACCGAGTTCATATAACTGACGGTCAGACTTTCCAATAAAAAAAAAACAAAAAACTACATGACGAGGACAGGAGATGAGAGCTCTTATTCAAATTGCTGAGTTTCGCTTTCAGGACCAATGGCCTATCGGTAAACCCCCGAATTCGTGCGTCACTCGCTACTCAAAACCAACAATTCAAGTTCCGTATCCAGTCATGAATCTAGAATTCCCACTTTGGGAGAGGGGACAGGTTTTAAATGATATTTAGACTGGTAAGAAAAATAAAATTAAAATTTGCTTCAAAATACATTACCCATACACTCTTGTAAGTATATAAATTATGCATCCTTTAAGACAAATTGAATGTTTTTTGAGAATAAAGTTTAATCCTTTAGTCTGACGTGAAATGAACAGGTCATTTAGCTGTCTATACATGTACTTCCGTAGTTTTCTACCGAAACCCTTTATCTTTGAGTTGGGGGAGGAGTAAAATTTGTTATTGCTCTAGAACTAATTTTTTTCCGCAAACATTCTCGCATATGACTTGGAGAATCTTAATGAGACTTTACAGAAATGATATGCCATTTGCCATGAAAACATCAAGAAATATGCATTTTAAAAAATTTCATTTCCCTCAGTAACTGCTTACCGAAACCTTTTGAAACATCAAAAGATTGATTAATGCATTCTGCCAAATTGTTTTCTACCACAAAAAAAAAAAAAAAAAAAAGGAATCGGATGCACAAAGTTTGTCCCTGTCATGAAAAGAACGAACGGTTCCCTGTTTCTGTCTGCATGCCCGGATCTATAGCTAGGGGAGGGGGGATCAGACCCATCCCACCCCCTGCAATTTGCAGAGTTATTAAATGTATATAGTAAAGTACCTAAAAATGACCTTTAAGTTCTTAGGAAGAGTCATACATATTAAACTTAAGAAGTGAAGGAATGTTACTCAACCCCCTCCCCACCCACCCACACACAAACACCACACGAACATACAAATCAAGTTTTTCACGTTTTCTTTTTTTAAAATCTGGATCCGCGCCTGCTCGTTAGATAGAAAATTGATGTCACTTGGCAGTTGTGTATTGATATGTTCAGGTTCGCCATCTTGTTTACTATGTTCCTAAAATTCGTTTGGAGAACATACAAAAATAACTGAATTGCCCCGGAAGATGAATTCCGTTGAAATTAAAGCACAGAAAAATTTTGACGCTCATTTGATATAAGGACTTCTACTATAGGTGCATGCGGTATTTTAAGGTTATATTAATAAGTCTACACCATTTCTAACTAAAACGTGAGGAGCTTTTTCCCCCATTTTCTTCGAAAAACTCATTAACTTGAGCATTTGGCCACGTGCAATTAAAAGCCACTAGCTGCTCTTGTTTCTTGAATCATGCGTGAAATGTATATGTAATTTGATAGATCAGCAAAAGACAGACAGAAAGAATTTGAAGAGTTGATTATTTTTAAGTCATCATTTCGCAAGTTCTATGGTCGATACAATGACCTTGTCAGCAAATACAATCTATCATTTAGCCGAATGCTGACTGACGTTTAGAAAACTAATTGTTAGGACATTATTTAAACACTAAATTGTCTATGGATTTTTCATTCGGGTGTGACCGGTCGACAGAGGATGCTTACTTCTCTATGGCACCTGATCCCACCTCTGGTGTTTTTTAGAGGTCCGTGTTTACTCTGCTTTTGTATTGTTTCAATGAACTTTTGAGCTTGATTTCTGTTCGTTATCTCCATATTTGATTCTTGTTCTGTTGTACAGTCAACACAAATTTCTGTACAGTTTTTATTCTAAAATCTTCTACTACGCCAGGGTATCTTTCTTTACCAAACAGATGCCATAATAACCAGTCTTGAATAAGATTTTTATGCTAAATTATATGTTTATTTTTTTTTTCTCGAACAAATGCAAAGAAAACTAGAATATTTGCTGTTGGAAGCACAAGGTATAGATCACCAAAAACTGATCCCAACTCTGCAATATAGGAGTTAACTCTGCAATATAGGAGTTAACTCTGCAATATAGGAGTTAACTCTACAATATCGGAGTTAACTCTACAATATAGGAGTTAACTCTGCAATATCGGAGTTACCTCTACAATATAGGAGTTAACTCTGCAATATCGGAGTTACCTCTACAATATAGGAGTTAACACTACAATATAGGAGTTAACTCTGCAATATAGGAGTTAACTCTACAATATAGGAGTGAACTCTACAATATAGGAGTTAACACTACAATATAGGAGTGAACTCTGCAATATAGGAGTTAACTCTACAATATAGGAGTTAAATCTACAATATAGGAGTTAACTCTGCAATATAGGAGTTAACTCTACAATATAGGAGTTGACTCTACAATATAGGAGTTAACACTACAATATAGGAGTTAACTCTGCAATATAGGAGTTACCTCTACAATATAGGAGTTAACTCTGCAATATAGGAGTTAACTCTGCAATATAGGAGTTACCTCTACAATATAGGAGTTAACTCTACAATATAGGAGTTGACTCTACAATATAGGAGTTGACTCTACAATATAGGAGTTAACACTACAATATAGGAGTTAACTCTGCAATATAGGAGTTACCTCTACAATATAGGAGTTAACTCTACAATATAGGAGTTGACTCTACAATATAGGAGTTAACACTACAATATAGGAGTTAACTCTGCAATATAGGAGTTACCTCTACAATATAGGAGTTAACTCTGCAATATCGGAGTTAACTCTGCAATATAGGAGTTAACTCTACAATATAGGAGTTAACTCTACAATATAGGAGTTAACCCTGCAATATCGGAGTTGACTCTACAATATAGGAGTTAACTCTGCAATATAGGAGTTAACTCTGCAATATAGGAGTTAACTCTACAATATAGGAGTTAACTCTACAATATAGGAGTTAACACTACAATATAGGAGTTAAAGGCAGAGTAACCATTAGCACAGTAAGATAGCGTCAACACAAATATCAACAAAACTCAATGAACAACTGCCACATGACAACAACTTTTCTATCTCCCAAGAGAAAGAGCGAACTGTTACTAGATATATATATATATTTGTACTTTCCTATGACATAGACACAAACTTGTGCAAACTAATTTCCTTCTTGTTTTGGTAGAAAACACTGCAATGAACAATCCTTCAAAGTTGCAGAAGGTCACCAAGACATGAAATAAAGGATGTAACAAACAGTCATCGATATAAAAAAAAAACTACAAACAATACATATCTGTGAACAGGGCATAAAACACGGATCCTTGGAAATCCTAGAGCTAGGATCAGGTGCCTAAAAGGAGTAAGCATTCCCTTTCGATCCGTATCACCCGCCTTGAGCCCTATATATTAATCAGGAAGACGGAATAATCCATTATCAAATTTAGTATTTAATATCTATATGAATAAAAGATATGTATACATAATAACACCTATCTTTAATTGAATAATTGAACCTAAGTTCAAATGAATTACACCTCTCTTTTTTTCCATTGCTGATATGTTCAATTACAGATAGATTCAATTGAATTATACCTCTTTAATTCACTTGGAGATAGGCACAATTGATTTAAAGATAGGTACAATTATTTAAAGATGGGTACAAATATTTGAATATATGTTAATTTGGCGTTCCATATTTCCCTTTCTCAAACATCTACACATGCCTGTGTAGCAGTTTTGACTGAGGTAATCGACAGATGGCGGAGGAATTAAAGTAGATTGTCATGAGTTCTTTTATCCTTTTTTGGATGACTTCTTATACATGTAAGTGAAAATGCTTGACTCTATTGCATAATTCAAAAATGTATAATATAAAATTCTTTGTGAAATGAAAATATAAATATATAAAATACACACTTGAATTA